ATCAATGGACCCTTAAGGGTGTCTGTTTTCTAAATTTATATATATAAGCATAAAAATGTCTATATATATATATATATATATATATATATATATATATATATATATATATATATATATATATATAATGTGTAATGGATATAGATCCGACAATATTAAGAAAAATATACTGAAAAAACAAAGAAAAAATCCTAATATGCGATTATGCTGTTTTAATGTTTAATGTCAACGTCGGACATTTCGGTCGAATAGACCATCTTTTAGGAATGCGTTTTCACAACATCGCCCACGTGACGACGACGTGATCATATTTAAATGGAACGCTGATCTTATAAAAGATTTCAGTTATCTGTTTGGATTGGTATTGCTTTTAAGTCCATCGCCTTTTTCATGTTGAATTGTATATGGCTTATGTTAATTATGTTTTATGAATATGTCCTGAAGATGGTCTATTAGACCGAAACGACCGACGTTGACATTAAATCAGCATAATCGCATATTAGGATTTTTGTTTGTTTTTTCAGTATATTTTTCTTCATATATATATATATATATATATATATATACATATATATATTAAAACATTTATATATATATTGTTGGTTGATTCGTTTTCTACTGTTTATCAACCCATTGCAGGTTATTTAAAGCCAGAAAATATTCTCAGACTGTAGGATTTGTTTTTATTTGATTTATTTATTTATTTATCTTTAGATAGTAATAGCTGGAGGAGAAATGGTGGATTCATGCCTTCCCTAAGGGTATTTGCGTGTAAGTGAATATAACGAACCCAACGGGAACTGGAACTTGGTTCTCCGATTAACAATTCCGCACTATTATTTAGTACACCACCCGCACATCCAAACTGAAGGCACCTGTTATACCCAAGAGGTGACCCATCTAGGTACTATGTATGTGTGTGTATGTATATATGTGTAAGCGCCCTAATCGTGACGGATGTTATCGATACAACTAGTCATTCACACTCCTTGATACGAATTCTGAAAACATTATGAGAAAGGCAAATGTACCGTTCCCACTTGTAAAGTCATCTACATGAACTATCAGTGTTCTTTTAAAACAGCCCGTTAACCATCCGACAAATGCCGATGAAACCTAGATTCACTGTTGTTGTTTTCGTCCTTTTAGCCTCATAAATTTGCGACAATCCTGTTCGCTCTAGATGTATGCATAGTAAGTTTTAAAGCATAGCTGTCCTGTCAGTTGGTTCAGGTTCTGAAGAAGAGGAAGAACAACAACAATAATAGTAATAATAATAATAATAATAATCGCCGAGGCATTATTATCAAAGACAAAAAAGAAAAAAAATTGAGATGCAAAAGAAAAAAAAAAAAAAGGTAGCACTTAAAATTTAAAACTACTCCTGTTATGGTTGCGCTTTGGGTCTGATAAAGAAAGGAATTCAACAAGAAATTAACAATTGTTTCATCATCTCGCGAGGAAATCCCCCAAATAGTTCTAACAAGGACAACTACAAAAAAAAAAAAAAAAAAAAAATTCCCACACTTCGCTTGCCCGGTATCATTGAAATTTGAAACGATCAAACACGGTAATAACTTATCTATTTCGTTCAGTTATATTTTTTCTTAATTATCTGCATATCAAAAATAATTTTTTTTAATAATAATTATATCAGCCAATTTGAGGTTCCTGTTTTCTTTTTTGTCATATTTTCATCGCGGAAGGATTTAAACTGTTTATTAAATTTTTTAAAAAGAGACAAGAAAACAATGTCTTTTTAATGTCTGGTAACAGTGAACTACAAAAGTAAAAACAACAAAGGAAGAAAAATATTATAATGAAACTTCATCAAAATGATGTAAAAACAGACTGACGACGAATCTATCTATCTATCTATCTATCTATCTATATATATATATATATATATATATATATATATGTAAGCAAATATATGGATATAGATCCGACAGTATGAAGAAAAATATAAATAATATTGAAACGGAACGCTGATCTTGAAAAATTTCAGTTGTCTGTTTTGATTAGTCTTACTCTTATGTCCATCGTCTTTTCATGTTGAATTAAATATAGTCTAATGTTAATTATGTTTTATGAATATGTCCTGAAGATGGTCTACTAGACCGAAACGTCCGACGTTGACATTATATTAACATTAAAACAGCATAATTTGCATATTAGGGTTTTTGTTTGTTTTTTCCGTAAATTTTTCTCCATATATATATATATATATATATATATATATATCTTATAATATAAAACATTTTTAAATCGCTGCACAAAAGATTCCATGTTTCAATACTATGGTTGTACTTCTTCAGGCGATAATGGGTAACTGGTTATAAAAGGATTTCTTAGGGGAAATTTAAAAACAAATCCTTACCTCTTTCCCTAAAGTTAAAACAGGTGCATATGGTTAGAAATTAAAAATAGACTTGTGGCTATGTCTGGATTAACCAATTAAATATCAGATCTACGCTAAATAGAAAAATAAAGTCAGAGGGTGGAGGTGGGTGAGTTATTTTTCTTCATATCGCGATAAACCGACATACAGCATGTCATCATTACGATTATAAAGGATATGGCAGCGACAAATATATCTTGATTTTCTTTCTCCCATTACTCACCAGTTATATATATATATATATATATATATATATATTTACCATCACTTGAGGAGACACATTTGTAGTGTAGAAATATATATATATATATATATATATATATATATATATATATATATATATATATATTTATTCTCTCTCTCTCTCTCTTTCTATATATATATATATATATATATATATATATATATATATATTTATCTCTCTCTCTCTCTCTTTTTTATATATATATATATATATATATATATATATATATATATATATATATATAAATAGATAAGATTCAGGTAAGATAAGGACCTATGGAGTATAATTCCATTATCCGTCACTTTTTATTTAAAGAGGGCTCAATACAGAGTAGAGCTAAATATTATTTATTATCAGAGATTAAAACGAAAACATTAAAAATCGCTACACAATAGCAATCGTGTTTCTACACTACAAATGTGTCTCCTCAGGTGATGGTAAATTACTGGTGAGTGAACGATTAATTTCAAAAGCAGAATACTCCCTCTTTTTTTTTAAAGAGAAAGTGAAGACGAAAAAAAAAAAGCATTAAAATGAGACTTGTGGGTTTAACCAATTAAATATGAGGCCTACGCTAAACCAACCAACTGAAAAAAAATATATAGGTCATGACATGAAGTTGTATGCATAGAAATCCTAGACAATTTTGTTTACGACTGATACAAATGATCACATTATTTTATAAAATATAAAGAAGTGTGACGTTCAAATTTTACAAGAAATTAAAGTGAAAAGGGGTAAACCCATAAGCCTCGTTTTAATTCCGTTTTTTCGTCCTCTGTTTCTCTTTCAAAAAAGGTGAAAGTATTCTGCTTTTGAAATGTAATCGTTCACTCACCTGTAATTTACCATCGCCCGAGGAGACACATTTGTAGTGTTAAATCATGATTGCTATTGTGTAGCGATTTTTAACATTTTAACACAAAACCCTTACTGAAATTTTTTTTCCCTTTGATTTAAATTAAATTTAAATTTGAACACGGGAATGACTCCCATCGAAAATATAGGAGAAAGTCAGAAATCGGCAAGATCATTGAGTAATATTGAAATGCATCATTTTTCTCCATAAATTATAACAATGATTTAAAAATCAATCATTACTTTCATACAATAGATAAATAGCAAGGCGCGGGTAATTCGGATATATATATATATTTTAAGACATTTTTATGTTTAACATTCGTTTTATAGATAAAATTTTTAAGTAAATGCGCTGTTTATAATAAATAACATTTACCGGACTGAATGTCTGAGAAATTTTCATAGACAATATACATACCCCGACAGGATTCGAACCTGTATCCTACACGGAACCGTCATACAGCTTGACGTGCTTTTACCGATTTCGCCACAGAGCATTAACTTTAATTCATTTATCTATAAAAAGAATGTTAAACATAAAAATGTCTTAAACTAATTGTCGGACTTTGTTCATTTCATAATATATATATATATATATATATATATATATATATATATATATATATATATATATATATATATATATATATAGTTGGATGTTAGCTCTATCACTGATATTGAGCGCTTTCCAATAAAATACGCATATATAATATATAAATAAATTATATATGAAAATTGTATATATATATATATACATATACAAATTTTACACACACACACACACACATATATATATATATATATATATATATATATATATATATATATATATATATATATATATTACTACAATTCAGTTGATCAGATAGTCCACATAAACTCTTTTGATCTGCTATTTTTTCTGTTGCTGTCACTTTCTGTGTGATAGCATATACATAATGAAGACAAAGAAAGAAGCATATGGCAAACAGAGAGAAAGGTGGAGAGAGAAAGAGAGAGAGTGAAAAAACCAATAAAAAAGAAAAATGTAAGTTATGCGTGGTTTTGATATAACCAACCCCTCACTCTATTTGACATATTTGATTATTATTATCTTTTTCTACCTTTTCAACGACTTCTACTGCGTGTAGTCTTAAGTATTTGCAGTCAGCATTCGCAAACTTCAGTACTAAATTTGAAACGATCAAACACGGTAAGAACTTTTTAGTTTCTTCGTTCAATTTTATTTTTATGTTTTTCTGAATTACTGTTTCGTTACATTCCGATCAGAAATTTATTTGTCTTTCTGTTGGAGAGAATATGAAAAGTTATTGATTTATTTTGGTTGTAAATATAAAAAATATATCAAAATATAAAAATACATAAAAAATAAAATATATAAACAAAAAGCTTACAGCTTTTGTTTATATTTTTAAATTTTTTTTAACACATTTTCATTCTATCGTTTACGTTTCCTTTCTTCCTTCCTTCTATCCTTCTGTGATTTTCTTTTTTCAGCATTTGTTCATAGCACTTTCTTCTTTTTTCTTTCTTCCTTTCTTTCTTCCTTTCTTCCTTCCTTTCTTTCTTTCTTTCTTTCTTATTGTCTTTTTTTTATTTTTATTTTTTCTTTGCTTTTCTTTCTTTCATTCATTCTTTTTGTCTTTCTTTTTCTTTTTTCTTTCTTAATTACTGTCTTTCGTTCTTTCTTCTTTCTTTATTTTTCTTTTTTCTTACTTTGTTTTACTTTTTTTCATTTTTCTTTCTTTCTTTCTTTCTTTCTTTCTTTCTTTCTTTCTTTCTTTCTTTCTTTCTTTCACTCGCAAAATGAAACAGATGAAATGATATTTTCGGTGTCTTCGGTCTATGCTGAATTCCAAGCCAAAGACAGGATTTAGAATTTGGGGATCAGTCGGACCATTCTAACTGGGAAACTGGTGTATTATATTATACATTTAATGCTTGGTAACAATCCCCACAAGTTCATTTACTTGTAAAATTTGCAATACTTACAGTTATCTGTCTATGGGAGTAGTCAAATACAATATGTTATTTGTATTTGTATACTGGATTTGTTTTGAAAAAATATATGCACGTGTTCACTTGTGTATATGTGTGCATAACCTGGCAAATTCAGCAATTGTCAACGTATATTTTTCCAGAATAATATTCACTAGCGTAGTACCCATAAAAAATGTTGGAATTATTTTTTTCAATTTCCTTTGTATTTCTCTGTAAATTATTTTTTCTTATAAAGGTTGAATTACGCCTCGTTTTTCTATCTTCTTTCTCAAAATATTAATTTTCACTCATATCTTTCATACTCATGAATCAGAAATTTACAAAGTCTTAACACACACACACACATATATATGTATAATATTTTATATATATATATATATATATATATATATATTTCCAGCAAAAAAAACAAAAAAAGATTCGTTTTGTACGCGGATATCATCAACCCATAAATCTAGGGACTGATGATAGTGGCGTACAGAATGGCTTGAAATTGACTATCCCATGTTGAGGTATTTTTTTTATTTTGATGTAAAAATACATATGCTCTATTATAATTTGCTTCTGTTCATCGTCAACTGACAATTTTCACTCATATCTTTCATATTCATAAATCAGAAATTTACAAGGGGTTAATACAAATATATATATATATATATATATAATATTTTATATAATATATATATATATATATATATATATATATATATATTTTATATAAATATATATATATATATATATATATATATATATATATATATAATATTTTATATAAATATATATATATATATATATATATATATATTATATATATATATATATATATATATATATATATATATATATATATATATATATATATATATATATATATATATTTCCAGCAAAAAAAAAAAGGATCCGTTTTGTACGTGGCTATCATCAGCCCCTAAGTCTAGGGGCTGATGCTGTCTTAGCGTACAGAATAACTTGAAAAAAATTGACTATTCCATGTTGAGGCAATTTTTTTTTTTGCTGTAAAATACATATACTCTGTTATAATAAATACATCGTGGATCAGTTTTAATAACTAATATTACTAGGATCACAGATTATATATCAATGGATCGATTACATGTACTATATATATATACATATATATAATATATATATATATATATATATATATATATATATATATATATAAATTAAAGGTGCAAATTATAATTTATAAATTCATGAATCATTCATATTAAATTCTATATTTGTTTTTTGTATGAATGATTCATGAATTTATATATATATATATATATATAAATTCATGAATCATTCATATATACAATATTTCCGATAGCTTCTTTTTAATCATTTTCACCCCAAGCAAGGCAATAATACTACTAGAATGCAGGGGGTTACAGGAAGTGACGGTGAAGGGCCATGAGATAGCTGAGAATGCTGATGATTGAAAAAAATGGCCAAAAAGGAACGGGGTTTCAAAGAAGACAGAAGACAAAGATCGACGTTGAATTTAAATGTTTGAAGATTATAGTTATCAGGGAAGCAAGAAATCAGAAAGGAATTTCACAGGTGGAAAATGCGAGAAAAGAAACTGTTATGGTAGAAGTGGCGGTTGCATCAAACTAGTTTAACAGTAAAACGATGCGACCTAATTGCCAATCGAGTAGCACGCTTAAATTCATGTAGTTGAAGCACCAGGAGAAAAAAAAAAAAAAGCTCACCCGAAAAGTTACCAAGAAGATATTTGTAGAACTTACATCAAATAGCGGGAGTGAAATCGACCTGAAATAGCCTGCTAAACAGAAACGTGGACAGTGTGGATCGAAGGATTATGAAACGGTTCATCTACGAAACTACAGAGTCGACGAGTTGAATATAACATCAACTAAAATGGCAGCAAGTTTGGTCGAATAATATAGACATATTATGCCTATTTATTTTCTCGTTGATCATTTTCAGGATTGAATTGCGAAGACAAACTTAATGTAGGTGTGATCGTTGAGGATGATCTCAGAGGAGATCGAAAGTACTTGGGTTAACAAGAACTACGGCGCCTTCCTTGAAAAATTTCAACTTAACATCGGGAAGATGATTAGATAACGAGACAAATAAATAGATATAATATGTCTATATTATTCAATGGAACATGCTTGAATATATATATATATATATATATATATATATATATATAAGGCAGGATATGTGTGTGTGTGTGTAACGAATGCACGGCCGCAAAATATTCATGCACATGCTCCAAGTTAGTGGAAAGGCCAAGACCGACTTTGCATTTCCCAACTCCCATCGATAGTGGAAATAATCGATTTTTTCATGCTTCTACGGTAGTTTTCATGTAGTTTGCGGCCATTTTGTACTGGCCAGAGTGAGAGCCTATAGCTGGCTACCACGAACAGGCAGAAAGATTCTATGGGCCAGCGTGAGAGCCAACAGATGACTGACACGAATGTTAACTAGCATGCTAGCATGCAAAAAAATCGATAGCTCCATTCGTCAGAAGTGAGAAAAATTTAAATCTGCATGGCACTTTATTCCAAATGGCACATTCGCTTGCTTAAACTCAACGTTGATTCTGATTCCGCAGAACTGGGTTGGGTGTGAAAAAGTATTTGTTGTTAATATTCTTTTTTCATTCGGTTTTTCCAGTTACGAGTCCTTTTTTTAAAGCTGATCGTTTTGTGTTCATTTTGTTTAGTTCTTTTTTCGTTAACAGATTTAATGTTTAGTATCGAGCTTAGAAAAAATTCGCACTGTGAGATAGTCAAGAAGTAAGGCATGTAGCAATATCAGCACGGCAAAGGGCACTCCTTTAAAGGCAAGGAAGGGCAAAAATATTTTAAGTCAAGTGATAGCGATTGCTGTATGAGTCGTACGATTTTTGAATCAAGCACGGGCAACGTCGGGCCATGCTGCTAGTATATATATATAAGTAAAAAAAATACATGATCGAAATTTTAAGGGTGATTTGAATAATCATATTAAAGTAATTCATTTAGTCTAAAAGAATCCTTAGCAGGGCGCATTGGATGGTCGGTTCGTCCCATTTTCGGACTGATCATCAGTGCGCATCCACTATCGAGAATCGCACCGGGACCATTACGATACGACGCAAGCGTCATACCCACTGGACCAACAGACCCCGGGAAACGAAGATGTTACTCATATTATTATTGTGGTTCCCGGGCCTTGTAAGGGGTGACTCTCACTAGTTTCATTTTTTTGGAAGTGTTATCTGATGATCCAGCGTCCCTTAAAAGTGATCTGGTGAAATAAATTATTATAATGGAACCTTAAAGTGGTCTGTTTTTCTTTAATATATATATATATATATATATATATATATATTCAAGCATGTTCCAATGTATAATATAGACATATTATATATATTTATTTGTAGAAATAAACAAAATATGTCTTGTTATCTAATCATCTTCCCGATGTTAAATTTGAAATTCTTAAAGGAAGGCCCCGTAGTTCTTGTTAACCCAAGTACTTTTGATCTTCTCTGAGATCATTCATATATATATATATATATATATATATATATATATATATATATATATATATATATATATATATATACGTGTGTGTATATATACGTGTAAGTGGAAACAAATAAACAAATGCGACTATACGTGTAAGTGTAAACAAATAAAGAAATGCGACTAATTCTACAAATCTGTTGTAATAAAAATTCCAGAAAAATATGAAATAATGCCTACCCGTTTAAAATCTACTAAAAAGAATTGACAATTTTACTTTTAGTTAAAAAACAACAACCAGAAACAAAGAAATACCAAATCAAAACAAACAATTAATATGGTGTTAGATACGCCAATATAAAAAAAATGAACCAGTGTATGTTGAAAATAGTTGAATAACCAGAAAATAAATTAACTTACTTAAAATCCCATTATATGAATATGAAGTGTCTTACTGAGTTTTTTATTTTGATTTTAAATTAAATATTTTTTGAAAAACAATGAAATCGCTAATTTCAGAATTTGCCCCAACACTCAAAGCTATATTTTTAACTTATATGCAAATGAAAACATGTAAAAGCATCTACGTCTACATAGATATATTGACCCGATATATACATGCATACATCTCCCCATATATATATATATATACATATATATATATATATGGGGTGTATATACACATATTTATAAAATAAAATAAAAATGCTGGCTATTTATACCAGTAATTAATATTGGTAACATTATATAATTTAACGGGTCTCAAATTTAACAGAATTTATGCTAATAAAGTTCTAAATATTAAACGAGAGCGATAATTATTATTAAATTAGAAATAATAACTTATCGAAAGCTAACACTTGTACAAACACAAGAAATTAAATAAAAAGCTTAATCGCAGGGCCTTGTTAGTCGTCTTTAACGAAACATGTATAAAAGAGGGATTGCTGTCCAAATACACAATTATCATATACGTGTGTGTGTGTGTGTGTGTATGTACGTATGTATGCAGATAGATGTGAACAGACTGATATAGAGAGATATGTGCGTGCGTGCGTGCGTGTACCTGCTATGACGTTTCTTTCTGTCTGTCTGTCTCTCTGAAATATACGGTAAAGTACAGATAAGAGCTATGGTTAACAATGAAGACTGACCCCTTTTTTTTTAATATTCGTTTTCTTTCTAAAGGACACAAACAAAATGCAAACTAACAGACCGTAACGGTGAAGGCCTATTCTACCTGAAATAACTTAATTATTATTTGGCACAAAACACCTCAAAACCCGATAAACTGAGAGAGAGAGAGAGAGAGAGAGAGAGAGAGAGAGAGAGAGAGAGAGAGAGAGAGAGAGAGAGAGAGATGCCTATAGTAATAATCGGTG